TACGAATGAATAATGCTTTTTTTATTATCTTGTAGTGCGTAATCATCACATAGAAATAAATGATTATCATCGTTATTTTGCTTAACATGATTAATAGTTCATGTATAATGCAATTAAAACTTTGAAAACCGGATAAGTATTCTATCTTGAAAAGAGTACGTGTGTAACTTAGTAATTCAGTTATATTTCTTAGTTAAAGTATTTAATCTATTCATATTGTAAACTTTGTACATTCACTAAATTATTGATTTATCAAATTCTACTTAATTTGATGCATTTAAATTTGACTATAGATCAGGTAAGTAAATGTGATACAATTCAATGTACTTTTAATATAGTGAATTATCCGTGTTTCGATCTGTAACAGATATAATAAAATCATTCCTCTTTAGGTCTGATCGTGTCAGTCTTTGTTCGGTGATACAGTAACAAGTAATTTATTGTGTTCATAGCCATAAAAGGTATCCGAACTGATGGTTTATGCACTTACAACACTCTCCTTGACGATTTATTGTCGTGTGTTTATGATAGTTTTATTTGTACTTCTCTCTCCTTGTGTACTATTTAACATAAAGTAGTTAACTAACTAACTTGAAGGCATTGGATAGCTATTTCGTCTTAGTACGGGTTTTCTCAGTATTGCTCATCCCCGATCCCACAACAAATGAACTCGAACCAAGGCCCTTCAGTCTCGCACGCGAACGCTTAACCTTTAGATCACTGAGCTGGCCGTCAACCAACGGTGTTAATGTCTGACTTCAATCGATCTATGATTCAGGAGTCTATAGATAAATATTCAACAATAACAGGTTGAATTAGGAGAGTGTGCACCATAAAATTCATGTTTATTGTAGCACGTGGAGTTTCGATTTTAATTCCTTGTGGTATTTTGTGGGTGTGCATTGTTGAAAAATCTCAAATATAAAGCAAATAGTAAATCACTGCATAATCGTCTTTAAATGTTTTTCAGCCAATATTAATGGTTTATCATTTAATAAAATCCGTAAAATTTTAGAACATTTTATAATCAATTACGTGTTTTACTTCTCTTTTTTAAATTTCCACACAGTTTCGCGTTCTAAGATTTGTCTGTTTTCTGTGTGGAGACTGTTGTTTGATTTCACATCGATTTTGTGCTTATTATTATTATTATCATTATTATTATTATGTTTTTTTACTATTAATGGCTTTATTCAATCGGTTGATAACCATAAAAATAAATTATTAACGTTTGACTAAGTTACAATTATATCATCTAGTTGCAGAAATTTTGATGCCTCTACATGTTTTTATAAATATAAGGCACATAAATAGATAATTCAGAAAACGTTCCGCCATGCACCACATATAAACATTCTTGTGAGCAGCGTCCACTACTGTACGACAAAGCTATCACTTTTGTGTGATTTTTAGTTCTTTGAGTTGGATAGCTAGATTAAGAAGCTTTAATTGTTATTACCAGCTTTGTTTTACTTTAACTGTAATTCTGACGTAACCTTGTAAATAAACATTTGTTCACACACTTGGCTTTGAGGTACTGTATATATGGATAACACTTTGTTATACTACTCGACTATTCATATCGGATTGTGTGAAACAAATTACGAAATGGCAACCCAACTTGACAAATACGATTTTCACATAGCTTACTGTAATCTGAAAGCTTAGAAGTCGGTACCTAGCATGAGACACGGAATTCTGTGACATTTATTTTTAAAAATTTGATACTGTCTTACTGTGAAGTGAAATTTCTTATGACTCGTCTATTCAGAGAGGAGTCATTGAACAAATTCACTTTGTGAATAATCACCTTATCGATAATGAAAATATCTGTTTTATTTTATACGAAGTAGACAGTATTCGTAAACAAGGAAAGAACTATTCATAAATATTATGATATGTGAATAATAATTAGTTATCTTTAATGAAGAACCTGACACGGATATGCATTCGTTCAAGTCGGCATAACATATCAATATGATGAGATGCTTATCATAATAGGAATAACAAACGAGATCAAAGCAATGAATTAACAATGATAATGAGAAAGACTAGTCGCTGAGTATATAGTTTAAAGAGACAAAATGGAAAGGAATGTATTAATAATAATATATTATGCAGTAAATAGACTTCATTCGCTCTGCCATTTGAAACTCTGTATTGGAATAGTTTACTATATTGTTCAGTTACTGTTTTAGTGAGCAAATTTAATTCATTTACTAAAATGTCACAATTTTAATGACCATCTGACAAAAACACACACAGAATCTAGTTGATAAGAAATAGAGAGGGACATTTTGTTGTGATTATAAAAATTGTTGAAAAACATGTCCACATTTCATAAGGAATTAAAAAAAATTAATTTACATAGCCTGGTAACTATTCCGACTGTCTTTGATCAAACGTTTGAAATTCTGTAACTCCGTCTGATTGTTTTGAATTACAAGGAATTAAATTCTGGGAAAAGCTAGAATCCTAGTAGGATTCCTATTGGTTGTTTTTTTAACAAAGAAAGACCAAATATCGTAACGGAATAACATGGATTTATTAATTCGTCGATTCTTTTCAGCTGCTTAAAATCTGAAACAAAGGCATTAATCATTTGAACGAAAAAAAGTGTACATACTTTATATCGGAAACATTTTGAATAGATTGAGTTAATATATAGAGACAGAATGGTACTAACAGACAGTGTCTGTCCACATTTGTCTGTCTGAATGACACTTTATTTCAGTATAAAACACTAAATTGGCTTCTAGATACGTCCATTTTAGCATTACCATTAGTCTACAATCAATAGTCCCAGTTATTTTATCGCCTATGAAACCAAGTTTTAAGAAGACTGGCTTTTTCTGAACCATATGATACTCTAATTATTATTGTTTTGTATTTGTCTTGTAATTAGAAACATGGTAGTTTGTAAAAATGTCATTTTAACTATAAATCAGTTACTTTTTCCACATTTTGTACAATCAGTTCCCTTTACGAAATTAAGCAAATCCAGAACAATAAAAAATGAACAAGAGTTTGAATCCACTTAAATTCGAGGTTTCACCTCAGTTGCTAACAAAGCGAAATACAAATCAAATTTAAGTAAATTTAGAACAATAACTGAGCAGAATAATATAAATTCATCTAATTTCGTGGTTTCTTCTCAGTTGTTTATAATCATTGTTATATTGATAAATACCATAATGTCAAACAATATACATTGGTGACTGGAAAAATTGGAATGATAATAATTTAAATCTCTTCCGAATATTACACAAGTCATCTTATCAAAGTTCAAGTTCCAAATCAAATACTGCCTCACTTGTTTATATTATCGATACCCGTTTTCAAATAACTATATATACGATGCGATCTTTTCTATCCTTCTATGGAAATATATTTGCCATACAGTTATAAATACGAATGTACAATTTAAGTAAATAACTTCATCAAAAAGGAGATTTTCTTCACCGAGTTCTTAATTTTATTCAATGACACAATGAGTTATTTTAATTATCTAAAGGAGAATTATTATGAAATTTAGCATTTACGGTGGGATTTTTCATTAAAATAAAAAATGTGATGTTCGACAAGATTAATTTTTCTATGGTTACATTAAAGTTTTCAGTGATAAACTTGAATATGTTATCGGACTTTGTAAATATGTTGCAATGTGAAAAATTGATATCATTAGAAATTATCAACTGTTTTCTAATAATCGCCCAATAGTACAGATTAAGAAAGGTCAAACTTGGGTTTTGTTTTTGTTAAGGTTAATTCTTATTGCATAGTTATAATCAGTCCTAATTCGAGTAATTACATTACTCAACACTATGGTCGACAACTTCAAGTTCATTGTATTCGAATCAAGATTACTTTATTCTAGCATCTAGCTGAGCATACTTACAATCTATTGATCATTGAATAATGAAGGATTTCATATTTCTCTAGTCCTTTCAGTGTTGACCGAATTCTATCGATTAAATTGCAGTATGGTTACCAGTCTAAATGAGTTAATGTTGCGTGAACCATAATGAGATGTTAGTTGGTTGAACATAGGCATAGGAAAAACCTGTTTAGAACCCTTTAGTAAGGTGTGCTACCTGGTGGTTTACGATCCCATGCTACTCGATTTCATAGTCGGGGACGTAACTAATGAACCATTAGGGTTGCAACAAATCTCTTGAGGGATTACTTTGTTTGTAGGTGATTGATAACTAAGCAGTGACCAATTTATTATTTGTCTAGTCCAGCACATCTTACAAACTAGGGATAAAGAACACAAAACCCAAGTTTAGAGTTTCTTGTCTACTACTTTTAATTACCTTAGAAATGAGTGTATTAGGTTAAGTTTCCTGTTACTTGGCAATGTATTTTATACCAAATAAAATGCTCTGGAATGTTCACTTACTAGGAATAAATGTAACATTGTAGATTAATTCGATGAAATTCTCTGTGGTTCGGGAAGAGTAAATAAAATGACATCGTTCATTTATTGATGGTTATAGTAACACAAGCTTATCGTATCAATAAGACAGGTATTGATTTTCAGTTTAGCACATATTATAACGAAATAATTTATCAACGAAAGTTACATTCTCATAGATTCATTATTTAATTACGCCCGTTTGTAAAATGTAATTGGTGAAGTAGTTTTCATCCTGTAAACATTCTTTTATCATCATTATTAAATATAATAAACCATATTTTCCATTTTTTTATATTCAAGACAAAAGGTTATATATTTCAATTGGAAATATTTATCATTTCAATGGATGCTTCCATTATTTAGAATACAAGGAAGCAATGGAGACAGTGTGAAAGAATTCATTCACTTCAGATTTATGTTTATTTGCATATTTCGGTAGAATATAAAAATTCCGTGTAAAACTGCCTAGAGTAATTTAACAGTGGAATGAGTTTCCGATTAATCATATCCTAACATGTGTTATTCATTTTAACAAATAAGTCAATAGATTGATTTCATTTACTTTCTCTTGAATTTTCAGACGAAATGTTACCATCAAAGGAGCACCTAAACTTATAGATGAAAAATTTTTTGCATGGGAAAATCGAGTAAATCAGATTTTAAAATCATGTACAGCTATCGGACCCAAACGATGCACAACAATCAAATATGAATCATTGGTACTCAGACCGAGAGAAGTTCTGGGTGAACTGTTTGGTAAGAGATACACATATATATCGTTGTATCCAAATCATCGAGATAATTATCATTTTCACTTTTCGCTAGACTGTTTCTAAAAGGCAGTGGTGCTTAACTTGGGGTCAGAGATATTTCAAGCACCATCCACTGAACTAGACCATTATCATTTGAGATGCTTTTCTAACGAGAAGAAAGGAAGAAATCAACAACTTAACAACTTTGGGATGTATAACACCTAACAAGGTAACGTCAGTCGAACAATATTTCACTGGCTCATCTACTGTCCTCATTTACATCGAGTAGATGTTTAGGCCTTGATATACCGTTGGATCTGTGGCCCACTATCATTATTGTGAAAAAGAGTTTTTAGATATACTGATTCCAATTGGTTGAATTACATACAAATTTTATCACTGATAAATAACACTAAAGTATGAACACTTTGGCAAAATAACAGTAAATCATTGAATTTCATGGTTTTACATCAGCTGCTTACAACCTAAGCATAATAGTATTATTCATTGGGAATCAACTTAAATACTTCATATCATGACGTTGTAAAAATGCTCGTCACTGAGCAAAATTCTGGCAAGGGCAAAAAGTATGGATAAACTATAAGTGATATTTAATTGCTAAGTAATGATCTTCAAGATAATTATTAAACAAATAGTTTCAAATTTACTACGTTCTCATGAAACGGCTGCTATAAAAAGATACAGACCAAATCTATGCACACAAAATGATTCAGTCGCCAAACTTGCTTTGTTATGATGACCTAATTCATATATGTTTGTAATCCGATTCTTCTCGTGACAATAATTATTCAACCTCACTTCTTATCTGATCTGTACTCAGTTAATCGATTTTGTTTTAAGGGTTGAATAAATAGAACACAAATATCTCATTCCTTAATAATTCTGTTTATGTGCTCTTAGTTTGTTATAGAATATTCTTACACTAAACCTATAAATATTCAAATCATGTAACAGTTTTTCCAGTTGTCGTCCTTTTCAATAAACCTTATTAATGAGAACATTTCTAATAAAGTATGTATGTAGTATGTACATTGATTTCCGATAATTAATATTACTGTGTTAAGGTCCTATGCAAATGATCAGAATGTGTGAAATAAGTCGACCTGTCGTTTCATATGAGTCGTCTGTTCTTCACCTAGCGGTTTCATCGACATTTTCATATGTATTGATAAATAAAATTATTTACCTAAAGAATTTCATCTTTCTATTCCATCATATCACTCACAAAATAGCCAACTTAATAACATATATTAGTAATTCAATTGTTAAAATCAGTTATACTTTATGCAGTGCATAACTTAGATGTCTTTTAAATAGAGACCAATCCGCACATATATATGCACATAACTAATAATATTTTTCACCCCTCAGATGTATTTCGAAACGCATGAGAATGATTTAAAAACCATATTGACGTAGTAAGTTAGAATGTGATTGTCACTCGGTTCAGTTCATTTACGAAATATAAGGAATATTCAGCGATAAAAATACGTTCAGTGTTGCAATTTCCGTAAATCGTACACCTGTATTTATAGGTGGTTTCTCATACATGGTAATGTTCAGTAAAACAGAGGGATGTGTCACTATTTAATAATTTCGTCGACATTAACCGACCTTGGATTCGTAAATGTGTCCAAGACAAACATGACGTTTATCCAAATTAATATGTATCTACAATTTTCTCTCTCTTGTGGAAGAGGCTAAACTGGTAGCATAAACGGGACTTCTCTAAGCATATCTCCTAGTGTTATCCTAATCGTCTATCAAACTAATGAGTCAGTCGGCAGATGACCTCCGAAATTTCTTGTAAATTCTGACCAACTTGCTCTATCAATATCATCCTTCAAAGTCATCCATGTGATCAAATGAATTGGTTTAAGGATGGGACGATTTGAAAATCTATGCAACACAGAGGCTTTAGAAAATCATCGGTTTCGTCTCAAGTATTATGTACAGGAGAAAGATGTTTGGTCTTCAATTCTTCCATGGGTTCAACCTCTCTTCCTTCTTCCGTTACATTTCTTCTAATTTCCCAGTTCTCTTCTTGATTTAGTCAGCTGATTTATGTCATCGAACTATGCTTCATATCCACACGTAGACAGTTAACGCCGACGATTCACCCACAAATTATGATATCATGTTATCTTTAAGAATTTTATACTAAATTTCAACCAAAACATGAAAACATCTGATAAACTTTAGTGATTTGTTAAATAATGCAACACCTCTCCATTTTGTCAATGATACTATGCATGTAAACATTACCTGTGCATGTGATTGTTCAACTTGAATACATAGCATTGTCGAAAGAGGTATTTTCTTTAACGAATACGTCCTCTCGAATAAATCCGTGAATTACTTTGTTGTTCCATTTTTGGCAATTACGTATGCATTTGAAAAAGGATTCTTTCATGTGATCAAAGCACATTGCGAGCTGTCCCACCAACTGATACTGACATTGACGTAATGTATTAGATTGACTGCAGTCATGAATTCTGTCTTCGACTAATACTTTTTAAATCCGTCGAAAACAAACAACTTGCATTTCTAATTTGTTATTGAATTATATTTACAATAGTGTGTTGTCCCAGAGTAATAACATGAAAATATCCAACTCTCATATTGTCAACTGAAGTGAAATAATATAAATTCACTTCATTTCATAGATTTTCATCAGCTGTTTACAACTTCACATGTCTACGTTCCCCGAATATAACTGTGAGTGATACATACAAATGAACAAATGAAACAGTGTGAAATATCAACCAAGTTGTGTTGGAAAATCGATAACTGAAAATAGTTTCGTATTGAATGAGATAAAATATTTTGTACGCTAATTAGCATCAGTAAATCTATTTACAATATCAAAACATCCAGGTGTTTTGAACACCTCCAAAATGAACAAAACACATTCAGTTTATTATAACCTTAAATCACATTTTAAATTATAACTGTCTTATTCTCTCATTTGTATATATTTGTTTCTGTAGAATTCCTCGAATTACCATGGGATCCAATCGTTCTTAACCATCAAACGGCCATGAGTCAAAGCTCTCTAAGCAAGTAAGTCACGTGAATAATGAATTCATTTGCATGTTATCATAAATTGACACTTCCTAATAAACTGCCCACCACATTCTGATCAGCTTCTTATTAACTTCACAAACATTACATTATTCACAATACAGTAATCAATAAATTGTGATTAACTCAATCTCATACTATGTCAGTAGCTATTCAAATTACTCAGTGGCAACGTCTAAGATAGTGTAATTCGATGACGATTATTCGAAACTCATAGAGAGCACCGATTTCTTAGTGATAACAGTTAGATTTGAGTACTAGTGTCGACCAGTGCGAAACCTATGTCGAGTAACTCCTGTCGAAAATCTCCAACTACATTGACACTTTAACAAACTTTTTTCTCGAAATCCACTTGTTGATCGGATGAATGACTTCAACTGAACGCTTAGTGTGAGAGCTTGTCCGTCAAATGTACAACAGTACATTCATCTAAATCGCTGACAAATGATTTAATCCGACTGAGTTGTGTCTGCATTTGGTCGAGACAAGTGTGCTAAACCCCTACATCTCATTATAGGTACATCACTACTAGTTGCAACATCATAAGAGTAGAAATTTTAAATCTCTGATCTACATTGTTTTCAACGGAGACACTGTCGTGCATTAGTTTGACAGTTAAATTCATCTTACTTGACTTGAATTATTTTTTCTGGTTATCGCATTTTTAGCGAGTTATTTTTGTACGGAATGGGGTCGCTAACCCTATGCCCAACCATCCCCCTCTGTCCGGGCTTGGGACCGGCAGGAGCTCCAGGGGGCTCCAGACGGAGTTAGTTAAATTTGTCTATCAAATTGAAATTCTCGCCTTTGAATTCACCACTTTTCTTATTATACATACACACAGACTCGAACCGAGCACTTCACAGGTTGTTCATCCAATACACTTGGCTGCCCTAACTTCATGGGCTTCAAATGAATCGGTGTTGCCCGAATCCTTCATCTCATCAATACACCGAGGAAGTGATGTACTGAAAACACTTGGTTACGCTGATTTGGGTGTACCACCACATTACGGTACTCCAGAAAACCAGGTCGTCAATATAACTAGTTACCTGATCAATGATCCACAATTTAGACAAATATTCTAACTTTATATTTTACATGTGATAATTTACTTCTGTTGTCAATATTGTTTTGTGTAAATTGCGTGATACTTGTAAGCTATCTGTGCATATTGTTTTCAAATCGTTTGTTGTTAGGAAAGTCGAGAAGTGTATTTCTAAATATTGTGAAATGTTAACATTTCTAATTTATTGTTAATGGTGTATAGATTTCAAGCGTTAATTATTTTGAACTGTTATGGTTGTCGGTGATGGTGATGGTAATGGTGACATTTTGTATTGTAGTAATTTTCTATTTTGTATTTTTTAACTTTATATTTATGTAACTCCATATTTCTAACTTCATTACCATAATAATAATAATAATAATAATAATAATGACGCTGATGATTATGAGATTTGTGGAACTTCTCCCTTTCTCTCTCTCTCTCTCTCTCTCTCTCTCCTTTGATGAATATTCAATCAACATATCTTTATTTATGGTTATGGTTTTTATTGTTTTTATGTTGACTTTGTTTTATTTTTATAGTACATACTGTGTGATAACAAGAAACTATTTTTTTGAATAATCATTTTTTGAATCTATTTTATTGTTTTAAAATAGTACATTTCGATTTATGAGTGAGATAATGTATGAGTAGAATTTCAAAGTATTGGCCAATTTATATTTTGCAATTTTGAAAGATCATTTATAATTGAATAAATATTTTAATTATTTAGTGTTTTGTTTTTAACCGTTTTGAATTCAGTGGAATTTTTTGGAAATTTCAAGATCTAAATATTTAAACTGTCAAACTCTTTGTCGTTTGAACTTTTAAGTAATTATTTAGTATATGAAATTTCACAATTTCTTGTTTTCAACAGTTATTAGATTATATGTATTGAATATAACCATTTTACACTTGAACCGAAATATGTTAATAAAAATGTTAATAATAATATCATCCAGGGTCTTTAACCATCGGAAAGCATACAAATATTACTCTACTAAAAGTCATTTAATCCTTTGTTTTGTACTACCTCGTTTATACTTAAAAGTCATTATAAGTAATGTTGTTTTGTTTAGATAACGTAAACTACATTTATATTGTAGCAAAGTATCCAACAGGTGATTTTCAGCTTTTATATAAAGATGGTACACTACATATAGACCAGTAGTTTTCAATAATAAAGTCATTGAAAATGCGCAACTATATCTGCAATGCTCATCTAATGTTTTACGTAGTCAAGTTGATCAATTTAAAGATGAGCTGTAATTAATGTTATTTGGTCTATACGTCAACGGAGTAGCATTTCATTACAAAGTTTATGAGTGAAATTTGGTCGTAATCTTTTTTGTAAATGATTAATATTTTAATTAACATTAAGTGCTTTTGGATAATTTCACTATGGGTGTTTATGGGAAGAGTTGTTCAATATCAAAGCTTAACTGTTTTAGAAGTAAAACTTAGTAACTTGTTTATTATATATAATTTAATAAAATATTTTATTTCATGAATCTTATGAAATTTCAAACAAATCAGTTAGTAACTTGATAACCCAGTGACTTTGGATATAACACATCATTCTACTGCTTAATGACTAGCTGAAATTCTACATTTAATCAAAAATCAGCTCAATAAATATATCAACGTTGAAAAATATGGGTTTATTGATTAAATACCTTAATGCTAATGAAATTGGAAAAAATGATTTCGCTAGGAAGGGCCAAGACAGAGTGGGTTGGACAATGCTGGTCAGTAGCCTATGCTCCACTAGGAGTAACAGATGTAAGTAAGGCACTAACTCTTTTTTTCAAATTTTTTTCACTGAAACAGTCTGTTTTCTTATATCAATACGTTGGAAACACTAACTTCCATATTTGTATTCTGAAATATGTAAAAATTACTTCTTTGATTCCTTCCTATCATCCACTATAAATTTAGTGACGAAGTCTGTATTCGATTTACTGCTAGTCAACTCTTTTATGTACTATCTAGGGGACATAATATGTAGACGCACTGTCGAACTGTTTGTGTGATACTTTAGTAATTTGTGACGACAATATCGAAGTTAACAATATATTGAAAGAAATCAGTAACTTCTGCCAAGTAATAAATCTGATAGATCATTATATAGAAACTTAACCTGGAGTGGGGTAGTACAAAAATTTTCAAAACTGGGTCCCTTTGAGTCAGAAAAGAAACTTGCTTCACTCTCTATTGATAATGACCAGATGTGTTTGTACGAATGACGCAATTGACATTGAAGTAGATAAATTCTTGGAGATTATTATTAGGTACGGCCATCTACCTTGGTTCATTGAAAGAAGTCTGAAGTTAAAGTGGATAGATGAAACCGTTCCGTCGGTGATTTATTGTTTTAACTCAATTCCAATTTTTTCATAATCATTATTTCACCTTTATTACAACATCCAGTTATTCTGTTCTTCATCTGAATCAGTTGGAAAGTTAGCATTCGTCTATAAATTATCCTTGCCTTAAGACGTTTTCATAAGCTGTTAGATTGCGGTGCGCGTTACTTATATTGATATAAGTATTATATAACGCGAGTTAAAAACGTAATTTCTGGCAGCAGAAGATGAGGGAAGATCAAGAAAGGAAGGGCGGGAACATAATGCACTTTGTATGAAAGCGCATGAACAATGAAATGTCAGACAATCGATTGATGTTTGCAACGGAAATAGTCCAGTTTGATATGATGGATTAATATTTTGCAAATTAACGATTTAATATATGGTTGTTAGATTTTACTAACTAGTTCTGTACATTCGACTGAAGCTATTGGTGTTCTTGTTCACTACAAGATCATTACATAATATTTTTGGGATATTTCATTTATCCGGACAATTTATGGTTTAATATCAATTCAATACTGAAAAACTCAATTTAAATACAAACCATTATTTTCCACGAACAGAAGGTTTGATTATTGCTGATTACTCATTTGAACGACATAACATACCTTTGTTGTTACAGATTACCGTTTTTTTCTAAAAATTAACTATAAATACAATTATACAGCATTAGTTAATGATTTTGCCGAAGACAAAGTTTTCTTGGCTGAATTATTTTTCATTATTCTTTAATATGTAATTGATTATTCTGAACTAAACATATGGAAAGTCAACTTATTAATTAAATACTAAACAAAATCTTTATTAAATTCGCTTGGCATTGTTTACTTAAATCTTTAGATTGATGTTTAGGACTGCAATTGATCAGTCACTTATTGGGACATGTGCATACTGTGCGTATTGCCTCGATACTACCTTAATTTACAAGCATTATAAGCAAAGATATATAGTGGCTAGCAGTGGAATATAGGAAGTGCGTTTCGTCCTATTCGGCTATCAGAACTCAGTAGCTAAGTGGGTAATGCGATGGCGTTTGAAGCAAACGGTACTGGGTTCGAGTCCCAGAGTGACCACGTCAAATCTGTGATGCAGGTACATCCAGCTGACGAGTCCCAACTAGGACGAAACGCATGTCCTGGATTCCACTGCTAGTCACAATCCATCTTTGCTTACAATTTTTATTATTTCCAGAGACAATTAATTAATTTTTCAAAACTTTCAAATACATTGAAAATCCAAATCATTAAGAACAGAAGTAAACTCTTAAGTTAAGTGAGGAAAAAGCTGAATATGTTTGTTTCAAATATTCTATCAGAGTTAACCCTGATACTTATAAACTAAAGAGTTTAAACAAAGGCAATTTAAAAAAAATTTTATAAAGTTTATATAATTAACAACAATAAAAGAAATTTATGTTAGGGTGATCTTGAAAACTTCTTGAAAAAAGTCAAATATGCCTCTAAAAACGCTAAAACACGTCTTATCCAATCAGCATTCAAAAGTAGTTTTGCCAGAAATATCTAGAAAGTGAAAAGTCACATGTCGGGTTTCTGACTGGATGATTACCTATACTGCTATTATTTTTAGTAGCGTTCCAGAGATTTTTAAAAACCCAAGGCGATCTAATATACTATAAAATTTGTAGATTTCCTGTACATAAACGAGCCTTTGAAGTAAAGCGTTTCTTTCATATTTCGGGCCTTTTCTCTTGTGTTCAAGTCGCTGTGTAGATTCAACCTGTGGATTAGTATAAGAGCTTAGGAACGAAATCAAGCGTTCAATTAGAAGACTTATCAATTTATGCAACTTGAATAACCAAATGCTAATTTTTACCAAATTTATTGTATTGATATAAATAAAATTATGTAGTATAACGTACACTTTTAAATGATATCACATAAACTAATTTTGACAATTAAGAACCATAAACATTCGAGTGGTTAGTCGCTGACATTCTCCGCCTAACCAAATTCTGATAGATGACATTGTTTCAGATAAGTTAATAATTTCACTTTATTATTATTTTTTATTATTCTTAGCTTTATTCAATATTACATTTTTGGTACAATATAGAATCCTCAGCACAAGATATTCCAACAAGTTTCCATTCCTTATTTCTTCATCTATCCTGACGATAAATACTGAGTGATCGCCATTTACATGTGAGCACGAATCGACATCTGAATCATGTAGATTCTTTTCGATGCATATCGCCAGCAACCACGATTTCTGTGATTCAGCTTTTGTAACTTCTACAGTGAAACGTCGTATACATTTTATAAACACAACTGAATAGGTTATGCGATTAAAAGACATTATGATGTGTTAAAACAAACAGAAAAAACAGATAACTTCTTGAAATATCTGGATGGCAGGAACAGGAAGCTTAGATACTCAAACAGGCAGCCAAATGGAGTTCTAATCTAAAGAACTATGTGTTTTAAAAAATGTATTACAATTGTGTATAGGTGTTCTGGATTATGTATGTATTTTTAATTTCTTTGTCAATTACGATTCTAACATTCTGCTTAAACATCATAAAATAATAGTTTAGTAGCAGTGATAATGAAAAAGAATAAGCACTAAAAACACGGTTCAAAAAGCAGGAATGAAAGGTATGTATCTGTTGATGTAAAACAAGACAGAGGGGATGTGTTTGGGGAGTTCTGGT